CAGGAGCTCTTTAATGCTTGAGAAGAGGTACTTCACAATGCTCTTTGCAATGATTTTCCCAATAGCTTTGGGACATCCACAAACATAACAAGAGCAAGAACATCAAATACAAATTACCACTGTGTTTCAATTGTTGCCTCTCTTGTCTTCCTTCCAGATGTTGCTAATGATCTCCTGAGGAGCAACTGATTATTTCATTCAGGAGTGAGATTGGTCAATAACAGAGAAGCAGACAGGATGGGAAAGCCAAGGCATAGAGTATTGGTGATGAATACAAAAAATAGTGAGTCATATGCACAGAGGGGCTGGAGTATTACTTTTAAATACTGTAGGAAACAACACAATTAGTTTTCATTTTGAAAGCATGCAGTTCTTTAATCAACTCTGCTATATTCCAGACATTCAGGATTCCTCATTACCTCCCCCAGCTGCTTTTTTTTCCTTTCTTTCTTTCTTTCTTTATCCTCAGCTGCTTTTTTTTTCCTTTCTTTCTTTTTTTTTTCTTTTTGGTTTTTCACTCAGCTTATGTTTTGGTACAAGTATTTTCAATTTATGACTCAATGAACTAACTACGAATCAGCACAACTATATATTCTCACCCAACAAACTAATGGTAACTTAGTACAACCATGTATTATGAGTATGAGCATCAAACCAGTTGCAATCTAGTGCAGCCATATACGTAGTGGCCTACCAGGCACTTGGTTTCTGCTCAGTTCATTTTTTATGGATGCAGCCCCAAAAACAAGATGATCATGGTCTCTGTATTTCACACAAGTGGGCGAAATGGAGTCAGATTTCTAGTTAGCAACTCAGCATGCTTGATCAGTAGAAATTAAATTCCAAAAATGGGCCTTCCAGATAGATATTCCTGGATGGCAACATATCATTTACTGCTGACTAGAACTGAGGGGAGGTTTTTTTTTGGGGGGGCAAACATTTCCAGTCCTTTGCTTAAGAGAGATTTGAAAATTATTCTGCTGGACCAGCCCTACTGTCAGGCTGAGTGAGGAGTTAGTCTCAGGTTGCAGTGTGCCAGAAATGGCAAATTCAAAGTACTGTAAAGACGGTGCCTATACTTGGGTTTCCCTTAATAATAACTATGTGCCATCATGTCAGTGTTGATTTATGCTGCTCTTTTCCAGAGTTTTCTAAGCACAGTTAGAAGTGGTTTCCTATTCCCTCCTGTTTGCAGGCTACCTTGGAGGGTGCTAACTGCCCAAAGCTACATAGGCTGGTTCTTCTCTTTCCACGCACAGTGGGGAATCAAACTCCTGGCTCCGCAGCCAGATATGTAACTCACACAGACAAGGAGTTTAGGACAGGCAGACAAGTGGGGAAGCCCCAAGAGGTGGGGCAAGCCAAGCTGGATTCAGCAACAGAGAAAAAGAGGCAACAAAAGGAAAAACTGAGGCAGTTGTTTGTGACAATTCTCCTCCTGCCTCAAGTGGTAGAAGGGCTTGGGCTGACGTTGTTTCTCTATTTCTCTCATCAGTGTTTGAGTGACACATTAATGCAAAAACAAAAATGCCTTTCAAGTGGTAGAACGTTGTTTCTCTATTTCTCTCATCAGTGTTTGAATGACACCTTAATGCAAAAACAAAAATGCCTATCACATAAAACTGAGGAAGATTTATACTGGGGAGGGGGAAATCCATATGAAAGAGGTAATGAGAGCACTGTGAATTGGCCAAAAGCACTTGAGAGAGGGAAGATTTATACTGGGGAGGGGGAAATCAATATGAAAGAGGTAATGACTGTGAATTGGCCAAAAGCACTTGAGAGAGTGCATTGCTGTTTCCTCCTAAAGACCTACTGGTTCCGGAGATGGGCAAATTGAAGACAATGGTGAATGATACCTTTATTAGAGGAAACTTTGTCCAGCAGAAGCTATCTTTCGATTCTGCAGGAGTACTCATTGGGCCAGGTGTTTCAGAACTGGAGATGGTCTCTAGAAGAAACATAAAAATTCCAAAATTCATTGCCAGATGTGCAAGCCAGGTTTCTTTACTTAAAGCAAGTTCCAAAATGTGAGTTGCAGAATGAGCGCAGAAGTGGTAGGTTTCAGATTTTACTTCAGGCAGTACGGATTAAAGAGTTCTTCCCATACTTGTTAAACAAAGGAATAGCAGTAACAGCACATCTACTGCCTTGTATCAAAACACATGGTTTCTGCTGCGCTAGGGCTAGAGGCCTAAAGAAAAATGGCAAACCCCATATTGGAGAAATTGGGATAAAATTTAGTGTACGCACTAGGTAAGCCAAATTACATCCAAATTCAAAGTATTGCATAATGCTTGGAAGACAGACAGACAGACACACAGAGACAGACACACACCCCACAATTTACAGTCCTGCCTTGGGCGATGTTGATTGTAGATATTGCTAGCTATTCAGGTATCCTTCATAGTTCAACAAGAAAAGGAACTGCTACATGATCTTTGCCCATAATCGAAAGAGAAGGGTGGGTGACACCTTTACATCACTAGACTATCACAAGAAGGTGCTAGTTTTAACTCCACAGCAGTCTTCCTCAGAGCTGGGGGGGGGAATGGAGTTTAATAAGAAACAAGACTTTCCAACATCCATGGCCAGATGTGGAACCCATGGCCTTTGCTAGGCAAGGGAGTCACATGGGCTGGATTGCGGACGCTTCTGTAGCCCAAAGGAAACACTCCATCTAACCTTGCACCCTTCCCCAAACCCTGGCTGATCAGCACCCAGACTATAATCTACAAAATAACAGACGTCTTGTACCACCATTAAGACCCAACAAGGCCCATTGCTTCACATGGAAGTGGCCTATAATCCACAAGATTCAGGCCAAATAAACTTTATGTCTTAAAAGTGCCACAAAACTGGTGGCGTTTTGCTCCAAAAGACTAACGCAGCTACTCCTTGGTATTTTTTTTTAAAGTTCAGTTTACTCCGCTTAATTTAGGATGCACCCCCTAAAGCTGCAGGATTTAAGAAAATCTTAAATTTTGCGAAAAGGGGGTGCACTTTCGAGACCGACAAAGTTAAACGTTTACTTTCTCATGAGACTCCAAATCCACTTTCTCGATCTGGGAATTTTCCGGGATCCTCGATCCGCCCTATAGTATCCTCAAAAAGCCTGAAGGAAGCTTTATAAGAAACGGCAAAAAAAAAAAAAAAAAAAAAAAACAAAAAGCTTCAACGAATCTTTATAAGAACCGGCAAAAAACTCCACTTGGATTGCAGCGCCTTCTTTCCTCCTTCCCCTTTATTCCTGCTTCGGGCCTTTTGTCCCGTTTTTCCGGATCATCCCCCCCCCCCCCAAGCGTGTGCTGGCCCGTGCGCCTCACACAAAGCCGAGAGACCTACAACCACACCATGCAGACGCTTACAAAACCCATCGGGAATCCCTTGACTGACGGGGATCTGGCCTCTCTTCAGGCACCGATTCCTCGGCGCGCCTTCCTCTTCCCGTGTCACGTCTTTTGTTTGAACGGAAGGCTGCGTGCAGGGGAGCTGGGAGAAGCCCGCTCGCTCCCGGGATGGCAGAAAGACGAGATCAGGGCCCCGAGATCAGAAATCGGAATGACTGTATTTCTGATCTCTTGTCCCCTCAGTTTCACTTGTTCATTAAATGCTTAAAACCGGGGGCGGTGCAAGAGGAAGGAGGGGGAAAGGAGAGGAATCTGCCAGGAATCTTTCCTTTTTTTCCCCCTCGGGGGCCCTGCAGATCCCTCGTTCCTGCTTCGTTTCCGCCACCCCCCCGTCCAGATCTTAAAAAGAACGACCCGATCCCCACCATCACACCCGCGCTCGGGCTGTTCCTGCACTGTGGAAAGCCAAGAAAAAGGGGTGGCGGCGGCGCGGTGTGTCCCTTTCGCTTCGTTTCTCTCCCCCTCCCCTCCGCGAAATCCTTGGAAGCTGTGCACGCATTTCTGCGAGTGTGGGCTGCTACACAAAAGCACACCCCTGGCCGAGAGAGAGCGAGAGAGCGCCTC